ATGTTGAATCCCAAATTTTAAAGTCCTTCACATTTTATACAATATAGTGACTCTAACTCAACAGAAAAAACTCATTTTGAACCTAGGGAGGTTGGGAAAGTAAAAAAAATGAAAATCATGCATGAGGGACGATTGCTTAGTAATTAACGCGAAAAGGACAAAATGAGAAAGACAATAGTCTTACTCTTACAAGTAACAACAAACGAAATAAAGATTATATTCCATGTGGGGTTCTCGCGGTTTTTTGCAGTGTCTTGGGGTGCTGACGAGTGAGAGACAACCCAGGGCCCGAGGGGGTCCTACTGATCCTCAAAATAATTTCAATCAAGTGTCAAAACCAGGTTTGCTGCTTGTGTTCTGTCAGAAAATTATATCATTGCATTCATTCACTGAATAATTGCAGAGGGTTGAGTGATTGATTCATTCTTGATTGGGGAAAGAAGAATGGAGAGGGGGGAGATAGAAGAGAGTATTACTGTGGGATTGTTGAGGAGGATTGGTACCGGCGGCAGTGGGGAGTCAAGGTGGGTGGATGGAAGTGAGGTGGACTCAGAGTCACCTCCATGGTCAATACATGGGGACGAGGAGCTCAGAGAAGGGTACGGATCTGTTAGGAGAAGGCTTGTCAAGAAGCCCAAGAGAGTCAATTCTTTCGATGTTGAAGCCATGGAGATTGTTGGTGATCATGCCCACCATAAGAAGGTGAAAAAAAATCCAATCTTTTACTGCTTCTATCGGCATAAGTAGGTTAAAATCTAATATTTGATTGTTTTCTTCTAATAGACTGCTTATCTCCTGTTACTGCTGCTCTGTCTATGTCTCTATGTGCTTAAACTTGTTCTTTTGACTGTTACCCAGTGGTTGATTCCATCTGGCGTGCTTGACATAATTTTGAGAATCTGAGTTTCTTTGTTCTTGTATCTATATGTATTTTAGTTAAGGAAGACCAACTATGAAAAATATTTGATGATGGGTATTAAACACCTGATCCTGAAGTTGGACTTTTGGAATGCTAATATGGCCTGCAATTCCAATACTGATTATATTTGGAGTTTTAGTTTCCAGAATGAGTTTTAATTAATTTTGGAGTGAAGAGGGAGACCCGCGGCCACTACCCGAGGGTGCACTTGGTAAACCCCGCCTTGTGTCCCTCGCGGTCAAAGGACCACAAGGATGTAAACCAGCCTAGGTTGCCCATAGCTGACCAGTTCAAACCAAGAAGGCTGGGATTCGGAATTGTGCCCTTGTGGTTACAAGTTTGTATTCTTATCCATCTTGGTTGGGGTTACCCCCGAGTTTACTTGAGTAATTCTTGTGTGAAACCTGCATATGTGAATAGGATTTCTTTGTGTTTTGTTGTTTGTTTTTGCTTAAATTAGTTGTATCGGGATGCTTCACTTAAGCCCCATGAAGTGTTAAAGTAAATATTGAACCATTTTTTCTAAATTCTATTGTTATTTGAAAAAATTAGGATCTTTCACTTGCGGGAACTCTTGCTCTAGCATTTCAAACGCTTGGTGTGGTATATGGTGATGTGGGAACAAGCCCTTTGTATGTTTTTGCTGATGTGTTTAGTAAGGTAACCATAACTTCAGAAATTGATGTCTTGGGGGCATTATCGATAGTGATATATACAATTGCTCTCATTCCCCTCATGAAGTATGTCTTTATAGTACTGAAGGCCAATGACAATGGAGAAGGTATGGGCATTTTGCTTCATGTATATATTACTATTGATTTTTCTGGGAAAAAGATGGTCTGATTAACAACTTCATGAACCTGATGGCAGGAGGAACGTTTGCTCTGTATTCATTGATCTGCAGGTACGCAAATGTTAATCTTCTCCCAAATCGCCAGACATCCGATGAAGGTATCTCCAGTTTTAAGCTCAAGCTGCCCACACCGGAACTGGAAAGGGCACTAAATATAAAGGATGCACTGGAACGTAGATCCTTTTTGAAGACCCTTCTCTTGCTCTTGGTCCTCACAGGAACATCGATGATTATAGGGGATGGTATCTTGACACCAGCAATGTCAGGTATTTCTCTTTTATTATTGGAGTTATACATCCATTCCGTTCTAATAGTCTCCTAAGCGATACTTTTCTGTTGCAGTGGTGTCTGCTGTGAGTGGTCTGCAGGGTAAGATACCAGGTTTTGGAACAAGTGAGTATGCTTCATAGTTCTCTTGCCTCAACTCAAAACATAGTTTTTTGGAAGTAAATTAAACTATTGCCTATTTGTCAAGGACCTTGTGGTCTAGTGGCACCAAGTTGCTCGGTATTGACTCTTTGTGCTTCAGTAGGTTGAGAAAGTAGTTATGAACAGATACTGCAATTTTCAAAAAAAAAAAAAACAAAAACAGATACTGCATTGTAACAGAGTCAGTAACACTAAAAAAAAACTAGAATTTGCGGAAGTGTAGACATCTTGTATGACTCATAGACCGATTCGTTTTGTAGATGCTCTCGTTATCACTTCGATAGTCATCCTTGGTGGATTGTTCAGCATACAGCGATTTGGGTCGAGTAAAGTTGGCTTCACATTTGCTCCGGCCCTTGCTATCTGGTTCTTTAGTTTGGGGTCGATTGGAATTTACAACCTGTTTAAGTACGATGTTTCTGTGGTAAGGGCATTGAATCCGGCTTATATCTTTCTTTTCTTCTCGAAGAATTCCGGTAAGGCATGGTCAGCTCTCGGTGGCTGTGTTTTATGCATCACAGGTTTGTAGCCTTTTATGCTCCTTTGATCTCGTCTTTTTTATCACGATTGCATTATGATGGATATACCCTCTAAGAGTGGTTCTGATGGATGCAGGAGCCGAAGCAATGTTTGCTGATTTGGGTCATTTCTCTGTGCGATCTATACAGGTTACTTTCTCTTTAACCCGAGGCTCCATTTTCAATGACTCACCTTAAACTCGATATTTCTATTGTATCTTGACCACTGCAGATTGCGTTCACTGGCGTGGTCTTCCCCTGCCTTCTCTTAGCCTACTTGGGCCAAGCCGCATATCTCATGAAACATCCAAATTCAGCCAGCACAGTATTTTATTCCTCTGTTCCTGGTAAAAATGCTAGTTTTTCGTACAGGTTCTATTAGAAAATTGTGAAATTTTGATACATGCTACATTTGACACGCACTTTGGTAATCATGAATGAACAGATGGGTTTTTCTGGCCAATATTTGTGATAGCTACAATTGCTGCTATAATTGCCAGCCAGGCCATGATATCTGCTTCGTTTTCGTGTGTGAAGCAAGCCATGGCTCTCGGATGCTTCCCACGGCTAAAGGTAGTTCACACCTCGAAAAGGCACATGGGTCAGATTTACATTCCCGTAATCAATTGGTTTTTGATGCTCATGTGCATGGCTGTAGTTGCCGCTTTCAGAAGCACAACGGACATAGCAAATGCATACGGTAAACTTCTAACTTCAACACTCCCGGAATCATTCTTCTTGTCCATTAATGTTTTTATTTGTATTCACAAAGTAATCCTTACATGGAAGACATCAGAGATTGGGTCAAGGTCACTCAACTAGGCTATAATGCACATGGGCTAAACCACACTAAAAGACTGAATCCAATAAATTAACTAGTTTAACCTGTAGCTTTATAAACCTGTATGTTCTCTCTTATTTTTTCAATGTGGGACACTCTTAACAGTTATAGATGTGAGATGCAAATGTTCTATATCATGGGAATCACCGATTGTCTTTGTTGCAGGCATAGCTGAAGTTGGTGTGATGTTGGTGAGCACCATTATGGTTACGCTAGTGATGGTTTTGATATGGCAAACGAATCTGTTTCTGGCGTTATGCTTCCCACTTGTATTCGGGTCGATAGAGCTTCTGTACTTGTCTGCTGTACTGTCAAAAATCCTGGAGGGCGGTTGGCTTCCGCTTGTCTTTGCTTCTTTCTTCCTGTCCGTGATGTACGTGTGGAACTATGGGAGCGTGTTGAAGTACCAGGTCGAGGTGAAGCAGAAGATCTCGATGGATTTCATGTATGACCTCGGGTCTACCCTTGGAACGGTGCGAGTGCCAGGCATTGGACTGCTTTACAACGAGCTCGTCCAAGGTATCCCCTCGGTTTTCATGCAGTTCCTGCTCGACCTTCCGGCAATCCACTCGGTCATCGTGTTCGTTTGCATCAAGTATGTCCCGGTGCCCGTCGTCCCTCAGGAAGAACGGTTCTTGTTCCGAAGGGTCGGCCCCAAGGACTACCACATGTTCCGGTGTGTGGCTCGATACGGTTACAAAGATGTGAGGAAGGAAGATCACCAAGCATTCGAGCAGCTCCTGGTGGACAGCCTCGAGAGGTTTTTAAGGAAGGAAGCCCAGGATCTTGCCCTGGAGAGCGTCAGCAGCGTGACACGTCAGACTGATGACGTGGCGTCCACGAGGTCATCCGAAGTGGGAGATGGTGGGATAGAGGGTCTCAAGATTCCATTGATTCAGCAGGACGAGAGGTCGGAGGGAGGCACGGTGGCGGATGATGACGATGAGTCAGCGTCGCTATTATTGCCAGCTAGCGCCATGTCAGCGGACGAAGATCCTGGCTTGGAGTACGAGCTGTCAGCGCTCCGCGAAGCCACGGAATCGGGGTTCACGTACTTGCTGGGGCACGCTGACGTGAGGGCCAAGAAAAGCTCATGGTTCATCAAGAAACTCAGCATCAATTACTTCTACTCATTTCTGAGGAGGAACTGCAGAGGTGGCGCCGCCACAATGCGAGTTCCTCACATGAATATAATCCAAGTTGGGAAGACATACATGGTCTGATCTGGGGTTTAGTGTTTGCCTTAATTCTTCATTCATATGCCTCATTATTTTCAGTGGCATAATTCATAATGTAGTGATTGATTTGATTTGTGTGATACCCAGACCCAGCTGCTGCCCAGATGAGATGGTAGCTTTTGTACCTATCTACCTGTATCTAAATCAAGACGGTTTTTAAATTTGTGTGGCTTCTTTCTTATAAATAAATGAGGCCCTACTAAAAGTATAAGCGTAATTTTTAAAACCGTCAAATATATGACTCTTCTTTTTAGTTATAATTTTGCCATGCGCAATTAATTATGTCCTAATTATTAGGAGAGAGAAGTAAACCGTCAAATATATGACTCCAAAACAGAAACAAGCTAGAATTGACTCCTAATGACAAGAAGTTGAATAACTTAGACAACATAGCGAAAGACATCTTGTTTAAGGGCATAGACAAATCAATTATCTTTCCTAGAGTATAAAAGTGTACAACTACCAAAGAAATATGACAACAAATTGACTATAACAATGAAAATGTTTGAGGATTTTAAGATGCTAACAAATGAATCGATTGATGAAAATATGGGAACATGATTAATAATGATCATTAATTGTTGAGGTATCTAACTTAGGTAAGGAGATGGGTTAGGAAGAAATATGTCAAAAAAGAGTTACATCGAGCTAGGATATGAAAGTAACGGTCATGAGATAGAGATCATAGGGATCTTAGAACTCTTTAGATTTGAAAACTATTCAGTGATCAAAAACCTACAAGTTTTGAGGTGAAAACAAGAAATGAAGAATTGAAGGAAGAAATGACCACTACATTAGTGACTTATCAACCTTCTACGTCTAGGTACGGACAAGAAATGAAGAACTGAAAGAAGAAATGACCACTACATTAGTGGCTTATCAACTTTCTACGTTTAGGTACGGACTATTTTTTGACTGATGAACAATTTTCAATGTTTGTTATTAGATGTTCACAAGGAAGAACAACACAACACCACATGCATCATCAAGAAGCTAAGATCCAAATTAAAGGAGCATCTACAGAAGAAGTGGAATAAGTGGCATATATGCATGGAGATTGACAAAAGATCAAAATGAACAAAAGAAAGATGATCGATCATATATACATGAACAAAATTAGTTTAACAGTACCGTACCCTTATGTATTTAAAAATAAAAAAAGATTCACCGTACCGTACCGCCAATATTCCAGTTACACTTTAGTTTAAGTAACCTATATAGCTACCTACAATTTGTTCACACCTGCATCATCCCAGATTCGTAGGGGATACCACTGGGCTTGATCCATTCATCACCCTCCACGTACACTCCAGGAGTAAACTGCTGAGCAATCTCCGCACTAATATCCTTCTTGTAACCCTTCCAGTTCACCCTACCCACGGTTGAAGCTCCGGGGCCGCGGTTTTCATACTCCGCGTACCAGAGGGTATCCAGTGCAAACTCCCCATCCCAGGGAGCCCACCCTTCGGGGGCGACGAAACCGTCAATGTAAGACTGCATGACGACCGTCCTGGAGAACTCCTTCCACGGCCGCCCGAGGTACACTTTGGCCGGCGGGTTCAAACCCTCCAGGGCGGGGTCCGGGAGGATGGAGCAGTTCTGGAGGACGATGCCGCCGACTTCGTTGTGCTCTATCCTCCCTTGCGCAGTCACCATGCACGCCTGGTTCTCCAATGGCTTCCTCACCACCATCTTGCAGTTCTGGAACACGGCGGCACCGTCGCCGAAGATGAAGTCGATGGTGCCGGTGATGGTGCAGTCGCGGTAGTACTGGCGGTAGGCGTGGGTGTAGAGGGTGTCTTGGTAGGCGTCGATATGGCAGTTGTAGAACATGGTCATATCAGCCGTGACCCGAAGGGCCACGGCTTGGTGCTTCTCCGGCCCCGCCGAGTTCTCGAATCCGATGTCCCGGGCCATGAATCCGTCTCCTTCAATAGCCACGGTGGCGGTCTGGTAAGTGCCCGTCCCGTCTTTGTAATTCTTGTTTCCGGTGATTCTTGTCTTTGTTGGACCCTCTCCCAGGAAAACAATCTTGTTCATATTCCTGATGTGAGAATAATAAGGTGAGTTCAGAATTTAAATAAAATAACCAATAGCCAAACACCTTGTGCAGTCGTGCTTGATCAGATGACATGCAGATGCAGTAACCCCTCCTATGTGGGAGGTTATGTGATTCAGCCTCCACTTGTAAACTTTGTGTGTTTCATTAGAATGATTAACTTTAGAAAGTATGTTTAATTAGATATTACAATGTAATGTGTGCTTCATTAGGTTGATAAAGTATGTAATAGAGGTCAGTAACATTCAAAAAAAAAAAAAATTAGTAATAATACTATTCCTTAATACCTCGGGACCACCACGTATTCATTGTACACCCCCGCCTTGATGAAGATGACGAAAGTGCGGTTGTTTTGGGTCGGGACAGCGGAAAGAGCGTCGTTGATGGTCTTATATTGTCCACTCCCGTCCTTGGCAACCACAATGTCGGGTTTAATGGAAGCCGGATCGGCAGTGAGGAGACGGCGCGTGGCGCACGCGCCGTCGTGCGGAAACTCACCCTCAGCTTCTAACAACCTATGATTGAGGCCATGGTGGAGGCCAGGGATTTTGACGGTATGGAGGAGGTCGGTGAAGTGAGTAATCATAGCCAGGCCATCGCTGGTTAATTCTCCGGGGATTTTAAGGAGGTGTTTCATTGTCTCGCCGGTGTTCCCGGTGGTGTTCTGGAACGCATCTATGCAGGTTTGCTGGAGGGTGATGGCGCCGCTGAGCCAAACCCTGATGTCGTTAGCGTAATCTTTGATTTTCGTGAGTTGGAAATCCTCGGCCTTGTCGAAACACCTCGTGAGGTCATCAACGGAGTGGTGTAGCACCGCCTTGCACGTGTCGAGCGCGCCGGAGATTCGGGGATCCTTGTCGGCATCCTCCTTGAAAAGCTCAGACGACTTGGTAATGGCGTTGTTGATGTTCTCCACCGCCGTCGTGAACGCCGCCTTGATAAGCTCCCTTGGGTCGTGAATGTTGGTAACGCCGGCGAGGCTCCTCTCGCAGGTTTCCTTGTAATCCGTCGGGGCGCAAATGGTTTTCGTCGACTTTGTTGCCGCGGAAATCAAGCCGTTGATTCTATCATCCAGATTTCTTGGGGATAATATCCCGCCGCCGGAACCAGAAACGACGCCGTCAATGGGGCCTTCGTCGTCGTTGAACAATAAACCAGGGAGACCGGAGACGCAGCAAGCCACCATGAGAATGTAAGCGACGCCGGCAACGGCAACGGCGCCGGCGACCCTTATGTTCTTTTCTCCGGACCCCATTATTATTATTATTATTATTATTATTATTATTATTATTATTATTAGGCCCCTCTTGAATGGGGTGTATTATTCAAGAGACGCCTATGATCACCTTTCTATGATGATTGAAATGTGCAGGAATGAAAACCATATTTATAGCATTCCCAAACTGTAACCAAAGCCACAGATAAAAACCTTCGATTCAGTTGATGAAATTGAGGTTCAGAAATGTCGTACGTTGAATTTTGTTTGGTCCCTTTGTAACTCCGCTGTCGATGCATGGCAAAAGCATAATGATTATGGACCCATGAAACTTCTTAATTATGACCTTGTAAATTAGAGGTAACTCAAAAATTTTTAATTATCATTTCCTCTTTTTAAATATAAATAAATAAAATTTTCTCAATAAGTATTATATACTTATGATAATTGTTGGTTTTATGACTCTTCACAGTCAACACAACAGGTCAACATTACCGCTAAAATAAGGAGAAATATAAGAAAATATAGGAAAAATATGAATGTGAGCTCTATAAGGAATAAGAATCTTAGACTACATCAGGCAGTCGTTATATCGTAGACCGCAGTGCATAAAAAACGACGCCGTTTCTTTAAGTAAAGAAACGGCATGTCGTTACCGTTAACGGAGTCTGCATGTTTGGTGTATTAAACACCAACTGACACTACAGTAGTAGAGTGTATCTAAACCGACACTGCCTCACGACAAATGAAACTGCAGTTATATCAAAATGATACTGTAGTTGCGGTGAAATGAAACTGCAGTGTATATAAAATGAAACTGAATAACATTTCACATATTTGAGTGTATATTGTACAATGAAACTGTAATTATATCAAAATGATCATGTAATTGTGTTTTAATAAAACTATGTATATAAAATTATAAATATCATTTTCACATATTTGAGTCTATAAATATCGAATGAAACTGTAGTTATATCGAAATGAAACTGTAGTTGTGTTGAACTGAAACTGCAGTGTATACAAAATGAAACTGAATAACAGAGTTACTTTTTGCGGAAGGGTGTGGAACGGCGGAAAAGGAATGTCGTTTCATTTCATTTAACAAAACGACGTCGTTTTGATGCGCGGTGCATAATCGCAGTGCACGATATAATTTGCCTACATCTAGAAATCTTTGTTACATTAAGAATAATAAGCTCTAGTCCTATTAAATTAGGAATAATGAGTTCAATCCTTAATACATTATGAATACTAAGCCCAATTCTTATTAATTTATTAAATGTATCATTCTTGAACTTCCTTGATCCATTTACGTTCTTGGGCCGGTTCATGTGGCCAGCCGCCCAGGCCCAATATAATATCCATCAATAATTATTTTAATATAATATTAATTATATGAGTTATATTATTTATTATTAATTCTTAAATTATTTGAATATAACTATAGTTAACTTTAATACTATGTAGTAAATAGTAATGTTGAACAATTACTTTTCACATTATGTAGTGAGGTGGGTTTCCCTAGCTGTCACTTAAAAAAAAAATAATGCAACGTGTAAATAATTTTGAAAATTAAAAGGTAATATATATACTGTATATGAGAATACTAATTTCAAGCGAGGAAGTCAAAAGTTAAGAGTAAAATTAGAGAGTCTAGGTAGTATTTTCTGATTTGGAATAGTTCATTTTCGACATCTTCAATGAAATTCTACTATTTTGTTAAAAGTATCATAATTGCATCTGTAGGCTTACTGGTTCTAGCGAATTGATGAAGAAGGAAGAGTAGTGCAATGAAGTTATGAGTGAATTGATGAAGAAGGAAGAGTAGTGCAATGAAGTTATGAGTGAATTGATGAAGAAGGAAGAGTTATGATATATGATATCTGATATCATGAGTTTTTCTTTGTTGTGTATATGATTGAGACTTTAGTTGTATGATGTACATAATCTTCATCTTAGTTTGCAAGCAGTTGTTGATATCTTGGAATGCTAATTTTTGCCCTACAAAATTCATATGCAATTAGTCATAAGATTTTTATTTAATTGTAGGTTACTATAATATAATATAAAACATATATTTCTAATTGGAAAATGAATAGTACATGTTGTTTCATTAGTATAACTTGTTTGCTGGATAACAATAGCAGTTGTTCGTCACATTAGCCAAACATAGATTCAATAAGATATCCACTTTCATTAGATATTTCAACATCCATTTTACCCTTATCATATTTTTTTAATATTAGCATTTGTTGAATAGAGTACCCAACGCAGCCATTTCATCACAATTTATGTAGTTAAATTGTTTGTCACTATCTACATAAATATTTTTCAAACAATAATTACATCATCCAATATATATCATATGTTTTTGTTCTGAAGTTTGAAGTTAATATTTGCCTTTTATCCAAACAGGTTAAATCTAAAAGTTCACATCAATTTAAAAATTATGTTAATATAATATTGAATAATTAAGTGCATAAAAATTATTGCATGTACATGATCAATAAATGTAGGAATGGTGAAATTGTTTGAAATTTCTTTAGCTGCTAGATACACCTACTATTGACTATTTTCCTCCTCCAATCCACCCCTCATTATATGACATCACTTAATTGATTACTATAATCCAATTTTTAATTAGCTGTGGGTTAATCAATTCACAAGCGAAAAATTCACGAGGAATAAGAAGCATTTTCTAATTAAAAGATGATCAGAACAGCAAAATTGGTGTAAAAATGATTCACCGTATAGTACCACCAATATAATATTACAGTTACACATTTAGTGCAGTTTAAGTAAGCAACCATACATATATATATATATATAGTTAGGAATCTTAGTTGGTCTCAGCACTACACTACACCTTCGTCATTCCAGAGTCGTAGGAAATCCCAGTTTCCTTGATCCATTCATCACCCTGCAGGAGCATTCCAACAGTAAACTGCTTAGCAATATCTGCGCTAATGTTCTTCTTGTACCCATTCCACTTAACCCTAGACGCGGTTGAAGCTCCGGCGCCGCGGTTTTGATACTCCGCGTACCAGAGGGTGTCCAATCCAATCTCACCATCCCATGGAGACCAACCTTCGGGGGCGATGAAGCCGTCGATGTAAGACTGCATGATGATCGTCCTGGAGTACTCCTTCCACGGCCGCCCGAGGTAGACTTTGACGGGTGGGTTCACAGATTTGAGGGCGGGGTCTGGGATGATGTCGCAGTTTTGGAGGACGAGGGCGCCCACCCCGCGGTGCTCCTTTCTCCCCTGCGCGGTCACCATGCACGCCTGGTTCTTCAATGGCTTCCTCACCACCATCTTGCAGTTCTGGAAGACGGCGGCCGCGTCGCCGAAGATGAAGTCGATGGTGCCGGTGATGGTGCAGTCGCGGTAGTACTGGCGGTAGGCGTGGGTGTAGAGGGTGTCTTGGTAGGCGTCGATATGGCAGTTGTGGAATATGGTCATATCGGCTGAAACCCTAAGGGCTACGGCTTGGTGCTTCGCGGCCCCGGCGCTGTTCTCGAATCCGATATTCCGTGCTATGAATCCGTCTCCTTGGATAGCAACGGTGGCGGTGTGATAGGTCCCAATCCCGTCTTTGTTACTCCGGGATCCAGTTATCCTGGTTTTGGTTGGACCTTCTCCCACGAAAACAATCTTGTTCATCTTCCTGGGAACCTCCACACGCTCATTGTACACACCCGCCTTGATGAAGATCACAACAGTCTCGTCGTTTTTGAACGGAACAGCTCTAAGAGCCTCAACCACGCTCTTATATTGTCCACTTCCGTCCTTGGCGACCACTATGTCGTGTTTAATGGAGGCCGGATCGGTGGTGAGGAGACGCCGCGTCGCCGCGTCTACAAATCCCGGGAATTCTTCTTCTTGTTCTTCTCCTTTAGTTTCAGCTGTTAATAACCTACGTTTGAAGTTGACGCCGGGGATTTCCAGGCTCTGGAGGAGCTCTGTGAAGTGAGTAATCATAGCGAGGCCGTTACTGGAAAGCTCATTGGCGGTTTTAAGAAGATGTTTCATCTTCTCCCCCGTGTCGCCGGTGGTGTTCTCGAAGGCATCTATACAGGTCTCTTGCTGTGTAATGGCGCCGCTGAGCCAAACCTTGAGGTCGTTAGTGTATTCTTTGATGTGCGCCATGTCAAAATTCTCAACCTTCTGGAAAGACCTCTTGAGATCGTCAATGGAGTTGTGAAGCAGCTCCTTGCATGTGTCGAGTGCGTCGGAAGTTCTGGGGTCCTTGTCCGCCTCCTTGAGAAGCTCCGACTTGGAAATGGCGTCGGTGATGTTCTCCACCGTCACCCTGAACGCCAACTTGATAAGCTCTTTGGGGTCGTCTGTGTCCTTAGCGCCGGCAAGGCTCCTCTCGCAGGTCTCCTTGTAATCAGTTGGGGCGCAAATTTCTTTCACCGACTTTGATGCAGTTGAAATCTCGCCGCCTCCATCGGCAGATTCACCGGACCTACCGACGGAGACGGTGGCAGCCACCACGCACGCCACCAAGAAAATGGAAGCGACGCCAGTAACAGCCACCTTTTTATTCTGCTCTGGAGACCCCATTTTTATGAGACTCTTGAATGGGGTCTCTTACAAAGGTGATGCCTTTGATCTGATCTTCTTTTCTTAGATGATTGAAATGTGCAAGAATTCAAAGCCTACTTATAGCATTCAGAAACTATAAGCAAAGCCACAGATGAAACTAACAACCTTCAATAATTGAGAAAAATACAAGGCTTTTAGTATTTTTCGGAGTAGAATGAACGCTTTCACCGTGGGATGAAAAGTTAGCGGTAAAACATTGCAAAAATTTAATAATAATAATAATATTAAAAAAATTTAAGGCTTTGTTTGGTAGAATATGGTTAGCGTTACAAGGTTCGGTTAGTTGCCAAGGGATTCAATCAAATTGCCGGTGAGGATTTCTTTGAGACCTTTAGTCCCGTTGTTAAATCGACTACGGTACGCCTTCTTTTATCCTTAGCTATTTCTCGTGGATGGACTATTCGGCAGTTGGACATACACAATGCTTTTCTAAATGGCAATCTCGCTGAGACGGTTTATATGTGCCAGCCCCCTGGTTATGAAGACAAAACGATTCCCGGGCACGTTTGTCTCCTTCAACGTTCTTTATATGGGCTTAAGCAAGCTCCCCGTGCTTGGTTCACTCGTTTGCATGATTTTCTGGTTTCTGCTGGTTTCTCACCTTCCAAGACGGATGTCTCTCTATTTATATATTCACATGGCAATACTCGTTTATATTTTCTGGTTTATGTGGATGATATTTTGGTTATGGGATCTGATCCGGCTCATGTGACTGCTCTTATTGACAAGTTGGCTCTTGAGTTTAAAGTTCGTGATATGGGTGTGCCCTCGTTCTTTCTGGGTATTGAGACCATTCCGTTGTCTGATGGCATGCTTCTGTCTCAACAACGGTACATGAAGGATATTCTAAAACGAGCAGGTATGGTTGATTGCAAGCCCGTGGCTACTCCGGTTTCAACCACGAAGGCCGAGACTGATGCCGTGGTACCATACGCTGATCCCACTCAGTATCGCAGCTTTGCAGGTGCTCTGCAATATCTTACGGTAACTCGGCCTGATCTTTCCTATACAGTCAATCGTTTATGTCAACACATGCACTCTCCCTCTACTGCGGATTGGGCGGCTCTCAAGAGGGTGTTACGATATGTAAATGGGACACTACATCTTGGTCTTAAGATTACGTCTTCTCATTCTCTAGATATTCATGCATATTTTGATTCGGATTGGGCTGACAATCCTGATGATCGCAAATCTACTAGTGGTTTTGCTGTATTTTGGGGGACCAATCTTGTCTCATGGGTTTGTCGAAAACAACGTACTGTGGCTCGTTCATCAACTAAGGCTGAATACAAAGGACTGGCTGATGTCTCTGCAGACGTTACTTGGCTCGTCTCTCTGATGAAGGAAATCGGGTTTGCGACACCTTCTGTGCCCAAACTCTGGTGTGACAATCTGGGAGCTACTTATCTGTGTGCTAATCTGGCGTTTCATGCTCGCACCAAGCACATTGAGATCGACTACCACTTTGTTCGTGATAAAGTCGCGAAGAAGGAATTACAAGTCAATTTTATTTCTACCAAAGATCAGATAGCGGATAATTTTTACTAAGTCTCTTTCGTCTGTACGTTTTAATTTACTCCGTTGCAAGCTCAATGTTTTGGCTGACCAACCTTGTGCTTGAGGGAGAGTATTAGGACTATTAGGACTCTATTATCCATATTAGACTAGGACTATATTATTCGTGTTAAACTAGGATTCTATCTAGCATCTCTATATATTCGCTCCCTGTACTCTCAGACATCATCATGGAATACAACACAATTATATTCTCATCATATTTAATATAAAATGAAAGTATATCTTTATTTAAATATCTAATGAATGGATAAAATTAAAAGAAATAGATAATATGAAACAATATATTAAAATGTTCCATTTTTAATCTATTTCATTACATATTTTAAAATACACAAAAATTAAATCCAAACTGTTGTAAAATCTTATTATTTTAAACTTGAATATATAAATTTATAAAAATGTCTTTTTTTTTTTTTTTTTTTTTCACTTATCATCTTATTTAAATGATAATTTTGTCAAACACCTTAATTTCAATCTATTAACTTAGTACCTTCAACTTTAACTATTAGCTTTTTACCTGTTAACTTATATAAGCTAGGAATATGTGTAAAAGAGGATTAGTTTGATGAGTTCTTGCGATGGCTGCAAAATTTGTCTATGAATCAAAGTTACAAGAAGATTTCAATACAACAAGATTTTGAAGATGGCGCATTGTTGACGTATGCAACCGTAGAGGTTGAGCAATTGCACAAGTCTCTAGGTTCTCACCTGATCCGGACTCTCTCTCTCTCTCTATATATATAGAGAGAGAGAGAGAGGATCAGGTGCATTTGTTGCTTCTCGTCCGGATGTGCGGTGGATTAATGTGCGTGAGGTTTATATTTAATGTGCGTGAAATTTGTACTCAATGTGCCTGATATTTGTACTTAATGTACGTCATGTTAATATGCGTGAGTTTTGTACTTAATGTGTCTAAGTATTGTGTTTAATGTGCGTGAGATTTGTACTTAATGTGCGTGAGAATTACGAGCTCAAAAGGAAGCACTACAGAAACTCACCCACATTAACGCCCAAGCTTCTTGTTACTTCTTCCTTCAATTTGGCCATGGATTCTGGATTATGAGCTACCTTCAGTGCAGTTGAATGTTTATATAAATGACGCACGCACAGTAAAATTTGCACAGCAGCTAAGTGTGAATTTCTATTATATTATTCCCATAATTTTTAACCACCATAGCTCGCCTCCGCATCATCATCATCAGGGAGGGGGCAAATGGCTACTGGGGATGGGGAAGGAGCTGACATAATATTTTCTGCTCCATTTTACACATTCACGCACATTAAGTACAAATCTCAGGCACATTAAACACAACACTCACGCACATTGAGTACAAATCTCACGTACATTAATCCACCGCACATCCACACGAGAAGTATTCACCGCAGGGTAACCTTTCACTATATATATATATATATATATATATATATATATATATATATATATATATATACACGCACGGGAAGTATTCACCGCACGGTAACCTTTCACTATATATATATATATATATATATATGGGTTTTTTTAAAAATTATAATTTGATAAATGCAATTAATTAGTTGATTAATTAGCTAGACGTGCAAGTTTGAAAATCTGCTAAACATCCAAAAAGCTAGTTGAGCAGGCTATTTCGTAGTCCCCCTCGCTTGCGCCGGTGCCGATTCTCTGAAGATACACCACGCTTGAGGTGCTGGGGCACGGCGGAGCCGCCGGAAACCCGTTCACCCATTCATACGCTCCGGTTCCTTTTCCGGAAGATAGTGGGACCCGGACGTTCTTGTTTGGGAAAGGTTTCGTTCCCATTTCTGGATATTCCATCGGAGCGCCACCGTCCCCTTTCCCTGTGCATTCAGGTGATTCCTCCGGCGACAGGCATTTCCCTTGTGGGTATGGGTATGGGAATGGTGGCGTGGCATTTTCGGGAAATACGGGCGGCGACGATGGTGGCACCGCCATCGACGGCGCCGGTGGTGCATATTTGTGGGACCCTTTTGGATTTTGTGGGTCCATGTTCAACTCTCTACCAAATGTATTTCATGTAAAAGAGGGAGAGAAGTTGAACATACAAGAAAGATTTGAAACTTTTTCCTCTGGGGATTGAAAAAGAGACTTTAAGGAATCGCAATACTTGGAAATGGTATTTAGTTAAATACGGAGTAGATAAATAGTCCCTTTAATATGAAGTAAAATTCTATGTATTGGACTAGGGTTCATATTGCACGACTCTGATCCACGATATAATTTGTCTCACACAGGTGGTCCAACTCAAATAGCCCAATAATTAAATGATAAATAATAAGAGATAAAGACAAGGGTAGTGTAATGGAAAAGACAATAAATCACTAGTCGCGGAGACAAAGCTTGTATTAATGAATGAATTGTGTCAAGCTATTACAAGAGATTGGAATGATGTCTTAACAAGACAACTAGACAGGAATTTATACTAATCAACTCCTAACCACCCTGCAAGAAAGAGGGTGGGAGGTTGCAACCTTAACCAGCCGCAGACCAAGCACCAGACCGAGTGTTGGGCTCAGCTGAGGTCGAGCTCGACTCCAAAGCCCTGTAGCTTGTTGGGTCTGATTCCTTCCGGATTGATGTGTATCGAGTCTATTTATGATATAACCATCAAGTTTAACATTTTTTTTTTAATTTTCTCTATTATATAAACAAGAAACATTAAATTTAACTACAGTTACATTGTCAATGGGAAATGACAACCCAAATAAGGTCCTGTAATGCCCAGATTCAAGTCATCTGATCTAATGGCTGTTAGATTTCACCATTCTCTCTTTCTCCTGTTTCTTCTTCTTCTTTTTCTTTTTCTTTTTTTAGTTGTAAAGCCACATGTACATACATAGTTTATGAGTAATTTTGTCAGCCTATGTTACTCAAAATCAAACATTATACACCATTCCTACTTCTAGAGTTGAAGCATGAGGAACACTGACTGCATATGTTGATGGTCTACTGTTCCTTCTCAAGAACTCATATCCAAGATTTATTACCATCCTCTTTGTAAAGCTTGATCCATTCTTTGCTTTCATATATGAATGCCCTAGTATATAAGCTATACCCGACTCCCTTGCTTCCATGAGATCGCGGATCTCTCCCCGTGCAATTGCGTTGATATTTGGAGACTCTGGGACGACGAACCTCACCCGTTTTCTTGGAGACTTTATTTCTCGGACCTCTAATATCCCGGATGATGATGAGGGATCGTCTAATTCGTGACCATCCTCCTGGAAGACTTGAACTCGGTTTGAGTGAGTCGAGGGGGAGCCAACCACCGCCATTTCCTCGTCGTCCTTGGTTGAGTCTCCTGCCCGGATGTATTCGGCTATGCTGCAGATGAGGTCATTCTCGAACTCCAAGTCATCCTTGTGAGCATCTCGGTACCCGTACCTGACAATGCAGCGGTACATTCTGTACTCCCGGGGGCCAACACGCCCCACAAGGAACCGCTCTTCGGGCCTAACATGAGGAACTTGGACATACTTGACACAAAGGAAAACCAGGACCTGGTGGAAGGCTGGAAGGTTGGTGACGAAATGGGAGAATATAGCCGGGATTCCAGAGACCAAGTCGGTGTGTATGAGGCCGATGCCACGAACTCGTACAATCCCCAGGCTAGGACCCACGCTAAGTAGCCAGTCGATGGAGACCTTGTTTTGGACATCAAACTCGTACTTTTTGATGGTTCCGTAGTGCCAAACACACATGATTATCATGAAAAGGAAGGACAGGGCAATGGGCACCCACGCTCCTTCGCAAAATTTAATTAGAGAAGCCGAGAAATAAAAGGCTTCCATTGTACCAAAGACGAGCACGAAGCCTATTGCAAGGACGACACTCCGGTGCCAGCACAGCACAATCACCAATGACATCAAACAAGTCGTTACCAGCATAACAGTTATCACAGCCAAACCTGATGCAATAAAAAAGTACAAGATACCAAACAGCTATCAGCTAACAGCTAATTTGCCAAACAGCTATCAGCTAACAGCTAATTCACTACTAGCTATAACTTTTGGCATGGTGGTAAGCGCTTGATCTTAACAAGTGGTATCAGAGCCAGGTAAAAACGGTGCAGTTAAGGCTGACAGGTGCTGGGGGTGAATATCGAAGCATTAGAAACTAGCTTACCTGATGCATTACCCAGGCGCTTGGTGTCTCGGAAACCAATAGTAACGGCCAAACATAGCAGCATCAGTGTCCAGTTGATCTCTGGAATGTAAATCTGACCGTGTATTCTCGACGATGTGTGCAATATTTTCACTCTCGGAAAGCATCCCAGAGAAGAGCATTGTTTAATAATCGAAAAGGTTCCCGTGATTATAGCTTGGCTTCCCACAACTGCAGCTAGTACAGCAATCACCAAAACAGGCCATCTTAATTTCTCTGAAAGAGAAGTGTTTTACATAAATTTAGTATCCAAAAATTATGTAATATTTTCCCCCACAAAGAACAAGAACCTTGGATGTACCGGGAACTGAAATGTAGAAGCCGATATGATAGTCACTCTCAAAATCATGATGCTTGGTCAGATAAGCAGCTTGCCCCATATATGCAAGGACAAGTGAAGGATAAACCATGAATGTAAAAGCAATCTGGGAAAAAAATAGCATTTCTTGGTAAAATATTATTAAAAAATTAGTATCCCATTCTTTTAAGTAATAAACGTACAAGTGATTATTGTGATTGAAATGCTCGTTATAAACCATTTCTTTAAAAAAAAAAAAAAAAAAAAGATCTGAAATGTGTACCTGTATAGACATTTGAGTGAAGTGCCCGAGATCAGCAAACATCGCCTCCGAACCTGACAGAAGAGCGAGGCAACATATTACCATATTAGGTAATTATGCGATCGTAAAATACTAAAATAGAAACAGCGGCAATGAGCTTTTTCATGTATATAAAATGTAACTATGAAAGAAATGTAGAGAGTATGTACTAACCCGTTATGCATAAGAGAATCCCTCCCAACGACATCCATCCTCCTTTTTGAGTTTTCTTCAGGAATTTGTACATGTAATATGGTGACAGTGCTTGATACACGAAAGGATTCCAATGAAAAATATTATATAAACCAATAGCACTGATACATAGAAGCCATGTTATGACCACAGGAGCGAACAAAAACCCAACCCTGTGAGTGCCATAATGTTGAAGGGAAAACAAGACGATCAGGATGACACAAGCAACGGGAACCTCTATATCTGCAAAATTATCAAATTTAGGGAGGCAGAAAGTACACCTTTTCGTTATAGAAAATAAGATTAACATACAGTTCTCTGAAAATTAACGCCCAACATCACAAGCAAGCAATTATGCATTTTTTGGACTTCTTAGGATCAAGAAGGAAGCCAAGGTCACTCAACTGGGCTATAATGCACATGGGCCAAACCATACTAAAAGACTAAATTCAATCAATCAGCTAATCTAATCCATGACCTTATAAACCCATTTGTTCTCTCTAATTTTTTCAATGTGGACTCTTAACACACAGAAACGCTTTCCAAGAACAATCAGAGGTTGCTATGCACAACAAAGTAATAATGCAATAATTACCAATGGAATTACAACGTCATATGAGACAAAAATGGCCTAATAATGGCAAGTTTCACGGCAACGATTTCATGCAAAAAATTCATCATGCTGACCTAACAATAAAGAGAATTCTTTATTTTAATAGAGATCATAATTCTAATCTTTGCAATCATCTAGCTGTTAGCTAGGAAAAGTTAGAGTAAAGTGAGTCAACTTCCAACTACTTGACAATAGTCAGAGAATTAAATTCAGTACAGTACAAAGACCTCATGCTCATGTAACGTAAATTCATTAAGTAACAGTCATAAATCACTTTGCAGAATAAGAAAATTATCAAGCACTAATCTGTTAATTTAGTGAATAACAAACCAAAAAAAAAAAAAAAAAATCACAAAAGAAACTAGAGAATCTTACATTTGTGGTGCTCTTTAGCCATTGCAAGTTCAATACCAGATACTGCTGAAAAAACTGCAGGAAATTAAGCAGAAATGAATCCATATGCATACTAACAATCACAAAACCGATGAAATCTTGGAGAATAAATCAGTAAATACCCGAGATGGCCGGTGAAAGAATACCATCGCCTATGACCATACACGCTCCAATTAAAGCCAACACAAGGAGAAATCTCTGCAATACTCCATACCTCTCCAGACTAGATTTCAGCCTCCCCCCAAGAGTTGCAGGGGGAGGGTTGATTATGTCCTTCTTAAACGAGGATAATTCCTCATCTGCTAACTGGCAACTGGGCAATGAGTTCACCTTAGCATACCTACAGAGGAGTGAATAAAGAGCAAATGTGCCCCCTTCACCATTATCATCAGCTTTAAGCACAATGAACACATATTTCAGAAGAGGAACCAAAGTCAAAGTCCAGAACACAAATGACAAAACCCCATAGATTTCATCATTGCTTCTTGAATGCTCAATGTCCTCAGCAAAAGTACTCTTGTACACATACAATGGTGATGTGCTTAAATCACCATACACAACACCTAAGCTTTGATATGCCAATATCAAAACTTGCCTCCAAGACTCCCTCTGCAAACCCAAAAATCCAACAATTTCCAAATTTACCAAATTTAATAACAAATACAAATGGAAAAAAAGATCAGCTCACACATTTGAGCCTTTTAACAAACAATAATAATAAAGTTCACACCTTTGCACGATTCTGGCAAAACCCAGACTCTAGATCCATGGCAATACCTCTCACAACTGCAAGAAAACCATTTTCACAGCGAATTCAAGAAATTTCAAATTCAGAAAAAGGGAACTTTCAGGGTAACACCCACTGACGCATGAACGGAGCAGAGAGAATAGAAAATTATATTTGGGAGAATATGATAGTATGCACTGGGATATTAGCATACAAATTGTTGAACAAACTTTTTAAGTAAACAAAATACAAAAACCCAAAGTGCTTGCTGTAAAAACACTCATAAATTTTATACTGCTAGGAGAGTCAGAGCATAAGATCACAAAATTTATTTTCTATGACAGCGAGGGAGACATAATGACTTCCCTTCCCTCTTATTTATTCAATTTTTTATTATATGCGCGTATCGTGAATGTGCATATGCATAAGAACTAACAGAGAAGGCAGGTGGAAGGGTGAGATACAGTGCTTATACTTTAGAGGTGGCTTATCTTACCTTTCCTTTTCAATGGTTTTTGCGATAGTTTATAATGGGTTCTCAGTATTGGTCCAGTGGTCTGCTGATATGCTTATTTTCTACTTCAAATAAGCTTTCATTGTTTTGGAGATTATGCGAAGACTGGAGCTTTGAAGGCTTATATCACAGATCTTTCTCCTTTTATTATTCTCTTTGTCATAAAGACGGGAGTTTCTACAAGATTTGCTTCCATATCTTATTTATTTATTTTCTTCTTCTCTCAAGTTGTTCAAACTCCCAACCCCAAAGGCCCTTCACACCTCAATCCGACGAAATATATAGGAAGATATAAATTAAAGTAACTCAGCAAATTATTATGTGGATCCAGGTCTACATTACAAGGTGAATTTGGGTGTGAAAATACACAATTTACATGCTGAATGTTCACAATTCAAATTGTGAACATTTAGTAGGTAAATTATGTATTTTGGACCGAGTTCATCTTGCAAAGTGAATCCGGGTTCATGGTATAATTGTTGTTCAACAGCTCAGCAGGTAGGGCTAAATGCTGGTGTGCATCAGGGATTTGTCCACTTTAAGCATAATCCGAACACTGTTGTTGTTAATGTTCGAATATTGATTTCTTCTCCCAAATACTGCTTATTGAACCTAAATATTGCTCCCATATTCTTAGGTTCATAGAATAAGAAATTCAGGAAATTCAATATTTGCATTTTAATATATTATAACTAATTAACAAAAAATAGGGAATAATTTTTTGTTAAAGCAATAAAACGAAGCTATATTATTACAAAAGATCTGAAACAAAGTGGAGCGAGTCCCCGTACAAAGTGATAGACTATAAATAAGCCTTAGAAATTAAAGTATGAGCCACCAAATTACAATTAAAATTATAATACAGTTAACAATAGCTTATTGCCACATTTTTAGATAAACAAAGATAAAATACATGTTACATCAAGATATCAGCTTGAAATTAACCTTTTGCAAATTCAACTGATTTACCTTATGTTAAAAATATTGAATTAAGACATCTAATCAAATTGGAATACTATAGAGTCAAACTGGGAATTGAGAAAGTAAAAGATGTACTCGTAATATATTAATGTGTATAAATTTACCTTGATTTATGGAGTATGTTAGGTTCAAAAGTAGGGTTTTTTTTTTTTTTTTTTTTTTTTTTTTTTTTTTTTTTACAAAGTACGGGGTTTAAAATAAAGTAAATATCATTAAATATGGTGAGACTTGTGAGGCATGAGTCTAAGTTAAGATGTATGTTGTCCATTCGGTACATTGAACTTTTTATGTTGCTTCTAATGGATTTGCTTCAATTGCTTCCGTCATCTTGTCGTTTCTTACATTGTGGAAAGGGGTTGGGAGTTTTATTTCTATTTTTTTTTGAAAGCTACTTACGCTAATACATTGTAGTATCTGTTCATTTATACATTATACGTTTTTAATTTATCTACATGTACATAAATAATTAAATGTAAATACGTACATAATATATCAATTGCATATGTATAATTTTTTGACTATGACCTACAATCCAATTTGGACCATAATCCATGATATACCAATTGTGTAATCTAAGTCAAGCTAACCCTAAACTTAGATTTCTTTTATCTTTTAATGAATCTCAAAATCATTTATAAAGAATTTCACACTTATGGTAGTGAGTACAAGGATTATTGTGTAGTAGTTTAATTTTAGAGTTAATATCCAAAATTATCCTCGACTATAGTGGTTTTTCTCAATTTCGTCCTAAACGACTTTGGTGACCTAATATAGTCCCAGACTTTTGTGTTTCGCTCAATTTAGTCTTCCGTTTGTTATTCCGTCAAATTGGTGTTAAATAAATGGACAATTCAATAATATCAATATTGATATCTCTTTATTTTCAACCTGCGAAGTGAGAAATCTCTCTTTCTTACACGAATTACACCCAGAGTTACTCTCAGACCTACGAATCAAATTTTATATTCGCAGCTTTAGAAGTGATTCTGGGAGTAATTCGTAAAAAAAGAGGGATTTCGCACTTCACATGTCTATGAATAAAGAGATGCCAATATTAAAATTACTGAATTGTCTATTTATTTAACAACAAATGGACGGAATAACAAATGGGGGACTAAATTGAGCAAAAATACAAAAGTCTGGGACGAAATTGAGTAAAAACACAAAACTCTGGGACTACATTAAGTCACCAAAGTCGTTTAGGGCAAAATTGAGAAAAACCACTATAGTCGAAGACGATTTTGGGTATTAACTCTTTAATTTTATTAGTTGTATAACTTGTATTAGTTTTACTTTCTAAAGTTTTTAACGCAACAATATAAATATATTTATTTTTGAACGCAATAGGGTTGATCAATTTATGATAAATAATGAATAAAAATAGTTTGTTTGTTTTTTTATCCAATGGTGATAATTTTTGGTTTATAACATTATATAACTTTATCTATAAAGTTTATAATGTAGTGTAATCATAAAATGTTTTTTTTTTTTTTAAATTTATGATTTTTTATGAGGTAATATCTTTTTTCATTTCTCAATTTGTTTCAACCCAAAGAATTAATGCCCCAGGTTCTCCACCACTGGGTTCGATCCTGTGACCAAAAAGTCCACTATAATTACTATGATGGTGTTTGATAAATGACTGTTAGCTGATTATGTTAGTGGGCTTGGCTAGTTGATAGCATTAACTGATTGTAGAAACGTGTTTGGTAAATCAGTTGTTAGTTGTTAGTTGTTACCTGATTACATACAAAATAACTTTCTCAAAAAGTTAATAAAAAAACTACTTTGATCAACTTTTTTAAATTTTAGCATTTTGGAGAAGTTAATAATTCAAACACTCATATTGATTGTTTAGTCAAGTCAAATAAATCAAAATAGCTGTTTTTTTTTTACCCTTTCATATATGAGTGCAACTCGAGTGCCATTAGACCACAAAGTCTTGACAAAAAATTAACTATTAAACTAACTATTTTACTAAACAAAACCTATGTTTATTTTAAATATTTCATTATTGGATTCAAATTTTCCAATAATTATAAAGAAATGTTTGGTTAACCTTGAACCGTACTATCATATTCAAATTCAATTATTTATTATTATTTTTTTTTTGTCTTGGAATTAGATTCGAATCATGAAGAAATGAAAAGAAGCATTCCTTTATAAATTTTTAATTTTGTTTCTTTTGGAATGGTAAATGAGGAAAGATCTGTTTAATTTTTTAAAATGCGTCTGTGTCTATAATATATATATATATATATATATATATATATATATATATATATATATATATATATTACATTTGAAAAGTATAAAAAGATCTTTCCTCATTTTCTATTCCAAGAAACAAACTTCCTAAAGATATGACTCTCATGATGTGATGTTAAACTATTTTCAGTTTTTCGATATTTTGGTATTAAACTACTTTTTATTTTGATTATTTGATTTTTTTTTTAAATGTAACTGACTCTATTATATTGTAATATATCTGCTCCAATCTACTGAAGCACAAATAACATGTTTGGTTCATGGAATGAATTTTGAGTTATTAGGAATGTTATTCCATGAGGAATAGAATAGGGAGTTTTTTCCCCTCGACTATCGCTTATTCTCAAATTTGCATTTCGACTTGTAATTGCACCCAATGTGATCCCTTGACTTTTAAAAACTCCCCCAAATTGGTCCTTCGTTAGAAATTCCATCTATTGAGTGTTAAAATGAAGGGCATTTTCGTCCATTCACCTATTATATGCCTAATATACTCTGAAAAATAGTCGAGGGACCATTTTGGGAATAATCGAGGGATCATTTTGAGAAAAACCCATTTATTTATTTCCATTTTTAACACTATCAAATAAAATTTCTATACATTTTTTTTTCTTACAAATATAAATAGTTAAAATCCACAATCAAATCTCAAAATTTTAAACGTTCTCTACAAATATTTTCCTTTTGTCTAAACGTACAAATTTTTCCCCTAAATACTCATATATATATATATATATATATATATATATATATATATATATATATATATATATATATATATATATATATAAATCATATAATCATATTAAAATTTCAAAAGACAATCAATCACTATGTATTACATTAAATATTGTTTTTATAGTTAAAATAAAATTATTATTTTTTACGTACTTTGGTAAACAAGTTTAAATTTCAAATTTAAGTTTATTAACATTCATATATAAAATACAAACAAACTTCAAAATGACAAGAACTTGTAATATTGGTAAATGATGAGACTTTAGGTTTAAAATTGTTTGTTTTGTGCTAATTATTTTTGCATTTGGTTTATTTTACTTGTCCTTTTAAGACATAAAATTGATAGTCATAGTTCTATACTCTCTTTAGCATGCTGTACTTCTTGGTAGATAGGCTTTTGGAAATGGTAGCTATGGTTTGTACTAACTTTGGAATGAAACTGTTGGTTTTTGGGTTTTCGGGCCCAGGGAGGTCCAACACAACCTTGGTCGGTGGATTCACCTTTCACATGCGGCTTATAGGAAAATAAGTAGAAAATATAACTCGATGCTTTTGTACGTGGAAACCGAAAGGAAAACCACGGGCCTTTTTGGGCGGTGCCAAGCCTAAAGACTTTCACTATTTTTGTAGGTATTTGTACATGTATTTGTATAGAGTGTATGATGTAAGAATGTGGTTGGCTCTCTTTCTTTCATGTATTGGAACTTCTCTTCTAGTAAAAATGGAGTCTTCTTGAGTGAGAGTGGAAGAGTGGCGTAGGAAGAGTGATGGGGTCTTCCATTGTGCTCAAGAATGGAATCTTCTTCATGTGGTCTTCTTGCTTGAATGAATGGAGAGTGATTGTGGGAGAGTGCCCCCATGTGTGTGGATGAGTGAATGGATCCCCTTTCTTCTTGTCTTCTCCTCCTTTTATAGCTAGCCCATCCCCAAAAGTGTCCGTTGGACATTTAGTAGGGTAGTGA